CCTTTTGCATCTGTTTGATTTGCATGCTCTACAATATTGGGAATAAAGTTATTCCAAACAAATTTTTGTACCATCGTGTGCCTAGAATTGTAACATTCTGGTTGATTTTATGAATGTGAGCTTTCTTATTTTTCTCTGTGTTTAAAAATTCCTAATGCTATTTTTTTCAGGAACAGCTTCAACCGGATTTTTGCTTTGCAGGTCCCTATTAAGTTTGCATGCTGAAATTGTGTTAACATGCTGTTTACCTCCTTAATATCTGCAGCTATGATCATTTGTGGCTAGTTCCAGCATTTTATTTTACCTTGCACTGGTTAAAAGTGTGCTTTCTGTGTGCCCATATTGTATTGTCCATGGAGCAGTGTGAAAACAGCTCTGTGATGCTGGTTATAGGACTCGCTGAACCCTGATGGCAACATACATTTTTTTTGTCCTTAGGAAATCACTATTGGTTCCTAGCACCGGTGTATGTTAATGGTTCACTCACACAGGCCTGGCTCAGCACTCTTCCATCTTTTTTTTTTTTTTTCTTTTCTTTTTTTCAAAGAGCACTGTTGAGCTTAAGAGTATGTGTGCACTTGCAAGATTGCCCATCCTTAAAAAGCTTTACTTTAATATTATAAGTGTTTTGTTTCCCATAATGCTTTAGATTTACTGTACTTGTATGTTCGCTTATTGCTACTGCAATTGTAGGTGTGGGAAACCTTACTTTTGTAAGGCCCATTTCAGAAGGACATTCTGAGCAGGTCTGTCTGTCAGTTTTTCAAGGCAGACCTGATCAGAAGGTCCATTCTTCCATATGGATAGGTGGTTGTAAACGGACATGAGTCCATTTATACCCGCTTACCTCTGGATCTGATCAGGCCCACTAAAAAAAAAAGGGAAGAGACGCTGTACTCTTCCGTTATTAGGCAGAGCAGTTCAAGGGGTCAGAGCAGATCAGAGGTAGGTGTCCATTTACTCCGGGCTGCCCATAGAGTAGAGTGGGCTCTGCCTATGTCCACTCTGCAGATACTGAACAGACTTGGATGTATTATCTGCCTGCTCTGCTCCGATCAGCAGGGGATGAGCTCACAAACCTAGGGAAGGCGTCCAGTGTGAAAGGGGCCTAAGAAATTGTCATCTAAAATACTTTGTTCTAAAAAAAATTGGAATTTTGCATTGCCATGATTCCCCACTAGATAAACCCTTTGAAAAACAAAAGTGAGAACATGGAAATTGTACTTTCATAAGTACTTTTAAATTGGACCTAAATTAAATTGCGCATTAATGAAACCAGTTCTGAGAAAAAATATATATATAGGCTGTCGTTGCTAAAAGTTGAACCCCAGGTATGGTTTTTATTGCATGGCTACATTGGTCCAGCTTGGACTGGAGTAAGTATGCATTATCCATAACTGTTGGACCTTAGTGGAAGTGAAGAATCACAGAAGTAGTCATCACAATTACATTAATAGATGCAGTATTCCAGATCCTGTCCTGAATGGCTGCCCTTCTGCATAATGAGCACAGGGGGGTGGGTTGTTTGGCATGGCCCCCATTCACAGCTCTCTTATTGGATGAGGTGGAGTGACAGGGCGATAATGTCACAATCTCTACCTTGGCAATCAAAGAGAGCCTTGTATTCATTGAAAAAATACAAAGCATACTGTGACTATTGGCTGTACCAAACGAGCAGCCCCATAAGTACACACAGGCCCCGCAAGACTGTAGTGATCACTGTAGTAGCAACAAATAGCACAGTGAAAAGGACTTTGCATACGTGCTTCAAGTCAGTGATATAGAAGATTTAGTCATGGATTAGTGTGACAGGCTGGGAACTAGTGTTTTCCAAAGCAGCCTTTATACTTTTTTATTACAACCTCTTTTTTTTAATATTCCCCCTATTATACATAATTGGCAGCAGGTCTGAGCTGCCTCTGTGTCCTATGATTAGAGGCAGCTGATCAGTAGCAGTACCAGCTCTAGTTCACATATATTGCAGAAAGAAAAAAAAAAATATATATATTTTTTTCAAAATTTTCAGGCTTTTTCCATTCATTTGGGTACAGAGTTGCATGACTACACAATTGCCTGTTAAAGTAGCGCAATGTTAAATAGCAAAAAATTGGCCCGGTCATAAAGGGGGGTGAAATCCTCCAGAGATTAAGTGGTTAAGCACTGGCACCATACAGTTGTGTCCAAAATTATTCAACCCCCACTGAAATTGAGTGTTTTGGCCAGTTTGACATTGCTTTTGATCATTCAGTCATCTTGCTTACATTTACATTAAAGAGGCACTTGTAGGTCAGACAAATATAACATAACAGTTATAATGAAATAACCACAAATGTCTTTTCTGTGCTCACAGCATTATCAGTTTTATTCAACCCCCAAGTGACATTCAATCTTAGTACTTAGTACAGCATCCTTTTACAGTTATAACAGCTTTTAAACGTGAAGCATAGCTTGACACAAGTGTCTTGCAGCGATCTACGGGTATCTTCGCCCATTCTTCATGGGCAAAGGCCTCCAGTTCAGTCACATTCTTAGGCTTGCGCACTGCAACTGCTTTCTTTAAGTCCCACCAGAGGTTCTCAATCGGATTTAAGTCTGGTGACTGCGATGGCCACTCCAAAATGTTCCAGCCTTTCCTCTGCAACCATGCTCTAGTGGACTTGGAGGTATGCTTGGGATCATTGTCCTGTTGAAAGGTCCAACGTCTCCCAAGCCTCAGGTGTGTGACGGACTGCATCACGTTTCCATCCAATATCTCCTGGTACTGAAGAGAATTCATGGTACCTTGCACACGCTGAAGCTTCCCTGTACCTGCAGAAGCAAAACAGCCCCAAAGCATGATTGACCCTCCACCATGCTTCACAGTAGGCAAGGTGTTCTTTTCATCATAGGCCTTGTTCTTCCTCCTCCAAACATAGCGTTGATCCATGGGCCCAAACAGTTCTAATTTTGTTTCATCAGTCCACAGAACACTATCCCACAACTTTTGTGGTTTGTCCACATGGCTTTTGGCATACTGCAGTCGACTCTTCTTATTCTTTGGAGACAGCAAGGGGGTACGCCTGGGAGTTCTGGCACGGAGGCCTTCATTACGCAGTGTGCGTCTTATTGTCTGGGCTGAAACTTCTGTACCCACATCTGACAAATCTTTTCTCAGTTCCTCAGCAGTCACACGGGGACTTCTCTCCACTCTACGCTTCAGGTAGCGCACAGCAGTCGAAGTCAGCATCTTCTTTCTGCCACGACCAGGTAGCGTTTCAACAGTGCCCTTTGCCTTGAATTTGCGAATGATGCTTCCTAAGGTGTCTCTTGGTATGTTTAACATCTTTGCAATCTTCTTATAGCCATTGCCCTTCCTGTGAAGAGAAATCACCTCTTCTCTTGTCTTCCTGGACCATTCTCTTGCCTTCACCATGTTTGTAACCACACCAGTAAATGTCTAGAAGGAGCTGAGTATCACAGTCATTTTAAAGCTGCCTAATTGGTGCTTATTATGCTTGATTGCTGCTCGGTGACATCCACAGGTGTTTTCAATACCTGATGGAAAGCACCTGTATGAACCTCTGTTCTTCAGAGTGGTAGTCTTTAAGGGGTTGAATAATTGTGGCAATGAAGAAACCACATAAGAACCATTTACTACTGTATTACATAAACAATTGATGTCATTTTAGTTGCATTTGGGTAGTTACAACGTCCTTGTAGGATTTGATTCTGAATACAATTCCAAATGTACACTATAGTCCCTAAACCCCTTTACAGCATTGGGGGTTGAATAATTTTGGACACAACTGTAGCTGGAGGAAGCCTGCTCTCAGGTAAGTATTATATGGGTGATTTAGGCAGATTAGCTTAGTTGCTAAGTTGCGAATAACGCGTTCTAGCTTAGTGATTTGAGCTAATGGTAGACATATCCACATCTGAAACAGGGCACAGATTCCTGGTGCTTCTGTTTTATATATTAAAAAATTGTAATATTTTTTTAAATAGGAGAGTGTGAAGCAGTGGTCTATAGGTTTTTGTATACAATGCAGTTCCATGTAAAGGCACTTTCACACTGATCCTTAGCAAACATGCGATAAAAATGCATATGCGATTTTGCTGCGATTGAGGTACGTTTTTCGAAGGACTTGTGACTCAAAAACCTCTTGAAAAATGTAACACAGGTGTGTTTTTGATGCGTTTTCACTGAGTTTTTTTGTTTTTTTACCTGACCAAAAAATGCGGCAAGCAGGATTTTTTACACCGCAATTGACCAGTGTGAAGACATACATAGGAAAGCATTTTTCTTCAGCTTTTCTTGTGCTTTTTTTAAATGCTTCAAAAACTCCTCAGTGTGAAAGCAACCTAACTTTTATGATTTCTAGAGCATCACCTGTAAGTTCAACTTCAGGTCTTATTGTGACTTGGGTGATTGTTCCCATTTTAAAGGCTCCTGATACTGCTTATAATGACACTTTGTATAAAATGAAGAAAGCTACAAAGTCTAGGTTTGTTACATGTAACAAAAATGTATAGGTCTTCTGAGAAAAGGGGCTTTGACTACCCTAAGGACTGTAGTATCAATTCAGATGGATGCTACATTCCTCTCTTTCACTGATGTGGCACACTGCTTCACTGAGCACTTTTATGTATCAAGCCATTAGGCTCAATACGAATATTGTCTGCAAAGAGCTTAGAAACACTCTCGTTATGAGCTTTTGTGTAGCTATAATTTGGGTCACCAACAGCATCTGAGTATGTATTTCATCAGACTGTTGCTCAACTGAAGTTTAGCAAATAATTCAGTTATTAGTTATGGTTTGGATGTGCACACAACTTACCGTACATTTTCCTAGTGATTTAAAAAAAAATATGCATTTTTCTGTGGATATATAAGATTTTGTAAATATTTAATTCTGTCTCTAGCAGTACCACGTTTTGCGCCTTCTTGCATGACATAGCTGCAGTTTGTGATGCTAAAATCTAGTTGTGGAATTTATACGTTGGCTTCTTTGTGCTTCCAGATTCTCTGCAAGCTCAGCTCATAAATATGGGAGTGATTCCCACACTGGTGAAGCTGCTTGGCGTTCACTCTCAGAACACTGCTTTGACAGAGATGTGCCTTGTTGCGTTCGGCAACTTAGCAGAACTTGGTAAGTATGCTGAGAAGGTGTTTTTTATGAAAGCATATGTTTTATATCAGAACTTTTATTTTGTTGCTTCCAAAAAGATAGTCTGCATAGTGACTTAAGCTATGCTAAGAAATTGCTAGAAGGATCTGCGCAATGGTAGCAAGGGATGGGCTGCTGCTAGCACCTGGCACAACTCTAGGGAAAAAAAACTACTACAGTGAAGTGCTGCCCCTTGATTTCAATCAGGTGGAAGTGAAAATGTGCAATAATCTTCTATTAAAAAAAATGTGTGTGAACAAAACTGTGCATAAATTAGTAAGTGCAGTACGGTACTATAATACACCCCCCCCCCCTTTTGGCTTCAATATCTCCTCCACTTGTATACCAGTTAAAATGGTGTATTCCCTATTATAGGAAGTTTTGATACCACATTGCAACTGCTCCCCAAACTGAGCCGCACTACAATGCACCTTCCTTCTATAGCATACAGACAAACTGTTAAAACTCAAATGTGCAATACCCAAAATCATATATATTTATTCCAATGCATCAATAAAACTATCGTCCATAAATAAAGTCTAATCATTCCTTGTGCTTTTGTGCTGTGGTGAACGTGCTTTACAAGGACAAGAGTGATAAAAAAAGACTGGTGCTTCCAACGCGCACCCCCTTTTTCACCGTACTCACCACAATGTTTGACCCCTTTTGCAAGTAGGTCAAATGCGCTTTGGTTGCTCTTCCCTCCACTGCGTTGTAGAATTCCAAGGTGAATGATGGTGTTAGGATGCTGTATCCTTCCCGATTCTAGATAAGCCTATCGTTTTTCAGATGGGCCATGAGCATGCATGCCAGAGGAAAACTGTCATAGTGCAAAATTGTTTATTGTGAACTTTAATAAGATTATACTTACAAACATAAAAAGATGGGCCTTTTAAGATGTACAAGGAACTGTAATGCCAACTGTGTTCCACTGTAGGAATTCGGAAGTGACATAATCAGCTCCGCCTAATGCGTTTCGTCCTCATGACATCATCAGGAGCGTAGCTGTTTTACTAAAATAATTGCATTTCCATGTTCTGTGTACTGTGGGAGACCAGATATAGTGGATGCAGGGTCCTGGGTTTAGTAACACTTTAATACTGAGCTGAACTAATTTGTATCTTTCTGGAGTTTACCATGAAAATTTTGGACTCGTTTTAGGGAATAGGTGTTCAGGTAGGGGAGGTTTCACGTTGGACCTGTACAAAAGCAGTTTTTTTTTCTTTTTTCTAGAATCTGCTGCATCACATCAAAAACTACCATTGCCATTTTATTTCATACTAGTATTTTTATATCTATGACTTGAGCTTTATTGTATCTTACAGTGATTCTCCTTGCTTTCTTGGTTATAATGGTTGTTTTAGAATGTTTACATCGCTTTTCCACTTTCTGCGTAGTTGTCCAAAGGGAAAAGTTTGCATTCTATTTATAGAAGAGAATTACAAAATGAACTCTCAAAGACTGCTTTTTAAATCAATGTATAATCAGAGACTGATGTTTACTTTGTGTTTATTCTGTTGTATACTATTAGAGTCCAGTAAAGAACAGTTTGCTTCAACAAATGTTGCAGAAGAACTTGTAAAACTTTTTAAAAAGCAGACAGAGCATGAAAAGAAAGAGATGATCTTTGAAGTTTTGGCTCCTCTTGCAGAACATGGTAAGAAAAATTATTTGCTTATATAATATTTAATTATAACATATACACTCTGTGGCCATGAACAACAGCAATGTGCTTATGTTGATTTGGACCACCCCAGTAACAGCTGCCACATATCATGTCAGTGACCCCACAAAGATCTGTAGAGACATGTACGTCACAAAATTGGACAAAGTGATGCCACCTTACACCTTTCACGTTGAAGGCATTCTACTATAACCTCAGTATCCTTCTGTGATCATGCTTTTGGAAGCTGGGTTCATTGGACCAACTGATATTTTTTCCAGTGGACCAAGTGAGATTTTCTTTGCCTATACTGAATAAAACTGTTGTTTCACCATGAATATATGTATGGTAGCTTGGTGGTTTTGTCACATTGGGCATTCTGATATTGATCATTTGGTAATTTTTATTTGTGGCCCATATATTCCCTGTACCCATCCTCCAAGGGCCACTTGCTTTATAGTAGATATTTCGATTAGGTATCTTGTAATTGGTACATTCAGTATACACCTAAGACTTCCATCTTTTAAAAAGCATGACAGCTCTCCACTTTTGGCAATGCTCAAGTCTTCCCATTTTTTTTTTTGTGCACAGTGAATGGAAGTAGAGTAAAAAAAGTACCATGTATCGAGATGGAAAAGTCAAAGACTTGAACCCGATGTTTAAATTGAATAAATACATTCCAGGTGTATCTAAACAAAGTGTTCAATGTCTTACTGTTCTTTCTAAAGCAGTCATAACTTGAGTAGAAATGTGTATACCCTGCCAGCAGCTGCAGAGCTGGGACCCTTACAAATGGTCTCACTGCAGAAGTCTGACATGGCCAATACTATAGCTCTGCAATGAGCAAAGCTTATGCTATCCACTGATTAGAGAGCCCAGGCTTTGACACATGGGGCATGTTGGATCTCTGCAAAGGAATTGGTGCTTCCCCCCAAAAAGTCAGGGTCTGACTCTGGAGCATGCTGTCAAAGGACAGTCTATTTTATTTGGGCTGTATCAGTTTCTGAAAGAAAGTAACTGCAGGACATTGAATACCTTTTATTTGATGCACCTGGGATGTATTTTGCTGATTTAAACTGAAAGTTCAATTGGGCTTTAAGCACACTTCTGCTGGAGGGACAATGATTCTGTACTAAAACCCACCTTTTAGTAGTGCATTTAAAGGGAACCATGGACACATATGTATGGCGTGTGAGAATTAAGGCCACTCTCCTTTCCACCGCACATATACTTTACTTGGTCAGCAAGAAGTTAGCAAGCAGTAAATGAGCCTTAAAATAAGCCCTTACTGACCTCTGCAGTCACAGGCACTATGGAGTAATTAATTATACAAATTCACAGCAGGCACCTTGAAGTTGTTCCATTGGTTCTTTCAGCAACAAGGTTCTTCATCCAATCAGTCACTCAACAGCCCCCCCAGCCTTCCAACCTCTTTATATAAACACACAGCAGGTGCGCTCTGCATCTGCTGTGATCTGAATCTGGAGCTGCTGGAAGAACAACTTTAGTTCTTCTGAGAATCGTGTTGCAGCACTTTGTAGTGTTCTCTTTAGGCTCCAGAGATCTATTTCCAGGGCTGCTACCATGAGATAGACAGACAGAAAATCAAGGGGTAGATTTAAGTTCTAGGACTGTATTCTCAGCAAGTTCTATTCTACATTCGTTGAAGTAACAGTTTGCAGCTTTTTTTTTTTTTTTTTTTTTTACTTCAGCCACTTTATTTCCAATTTATTTTGAAGTCCACATATTTATGTTGGTTGTTTCAGTTGCAGTACTTAAGCTGAAATGTTTAGCTTTTATATTTTGCTTACTGTGCTCTACCTATTCAGTGCAGTTTAATTGCTTGTAACATGTAATAAACAGCATGTTAGCTGCTGCTGAGATGTGACTTGTCTGAAAAGCCAAACTGACCTTTCTGTAGGAAGCAAAGTACTGCGTCCTGCTGACATCTCTCCTGCTGTGACAGTTTCTGACAGAGGCTGTTAACACAATAAAAGAAATGCAATTTGCAACCAGGAAAGCAAGGGCTCACTATGTCCTTCATCAGTTTTGATTCTGGTGGTCATGCTCTATGCTTGCAGAGCTTTCAGTTTTATGCAGGACCAGTTAAAATTATGTAAGTTAAAGGGGGGCTTGCCTATGAATTCTGAATGTTGAAAATGATATTGGTGCCATCTCCGTCCCACCGTCCGTTACACCACCGTCCCACTATTTCACATACGATCTGAATTTATAGATGTAAAGGGGCCTAAGGAAGTAGTAAAGTACTAGAACATTATGTGAGGCTTACCTAAAACAGAACCCTCCAGCCCTGGGCTGTCAGGCTCCCCCTAGTCCTTGGAATTTACATCTTAACCTGGTATTCCTTCAGGGTTCCGATTCTTGAATGGCCAGTCTGCAGTAACATCATTAATGCACGTGTGCACTGGAGTCACTTTGCCACGCCACACAGAGCATGCCGTAAATGCAGTCTGAGCTGTGTGTACAAGTCTCAGATCTCAATACCCGCTGACAGGCAGGAGGGGCATTTATGGTAGAAAAGACCTCAAGGGTCTCTTCTGTTATAAAAACCCTGCCTGTCAGCATGTGTTTTTCATAAGAGAGTTTGCTACCATTGGAAATTGCAAGGGACTAGATAGGTCCACTGAGCAAAGAAAACAAAAATATAATGTCAGTGCCACACATTTACAGAGATTGCTAAAGGCAGGTTAGGGGGAGAGTAAGGTTGCATGTATTATATATAAAGTCATGCTTAAGTTGTCCATGCCCATGAACACCTAATGGAATTATTATTATTGTTCAGGATTTATATAGCGCCAGCAGTTTGCACAGCACTTTACAACGTGAGGGTAAACCGTACAGTTAGAATTGAATACAGGAGGAATTAGAGGGCCCTGCTCATTAAAGCTTACAATCTAAAAGGTAGGGTCAAGTGATACAAAAGGTAATAACTGTGGGGGATGAGCTGATGGAGATAATACTTGTATAGTTGTTAGGGGGAGGCAGGATAGGCTTCTCTGAAGAGAGAGGTTTTCAGGGATAGCTTAAAAGTGGACAGAGTAGGAGATAATCTGACAGATTGGGGTAGGGAATTACATAGGATGGGAGAGGCTTGGGAGAAGTCCAGCAGGCAAGCATGGGAGGAGGTGACAAGGGAAATGGAGAGCAGAAGGTCTTGGGAGTAATGAAGAGAGCGATATGGTTGGTATTTTAAGACTAGGTTAGTGATGTAGCAGTGGGTTGTGCACGGCTTTGTAGGTTAGTATTTTGAATTTCATTCATTGGGTGAGTGACAGCCAACACAGGGATTGGCAGAGAGGGGTAGCAGACACTGAATGGTTGGTAAGATGGATAAGTCTGGCAGCAGCATTCATGATGGACAGGAGGGGGGATAAAGGTAATCCAATGGGGAGGGAGTTGCAGTGATTAGGGCGAGATAACCAGGGAATGAATTAGGAGCTTTGTGGTGTCATTGGTTAGGAAGGGGCATATTTTGGAGATGTTGCGGAGGTTGAGAGGGCAAGCTTTGGAAAGTGATTGGATGTGGGGCTGAAAGGAGAGTTCAGAGTCCAGGATTACACCTAGCATCCTGGCATGTGGGGACGGGTTGATGGTTGTGCCATTGATTCTGACAGAGAAGTCAGGATAAGGGGCACGTGGGGGAGGAAATATTGGGAGCGCTCACAGTGTACAGTGGGCATGCTCAGTATGCCCTGTCTATCTGCCCCAATACTGTATTTGTTGGCAAGTCTAGCCTGTGAAATGTAGAGTTGTTGTGTAAATACAGTTCTTACAACTGCTGCTGACAAGAATGGATCTTGTCAGGAAAATATGGTAAACATTGGTGCCATTTTTCTGACTGTGTTGCCCTTTAAAATGTTCTGTATTTGATTCAGAAAGTCTTGTCGCTATTTTTGGTAGTTTTATCAAAATGTGCAGCAGATTCAGCTAGTTTATAATAGTGCCAGATTAAAAAAAAAGTGGTGCTTTTTTTACCAAATTAAAAAGGAATTACCTCCATTTTGTAGAGAACAAAACAGGTTACAATTAAGACCAGCTGTATCTCTATTAATGGAGGATGGTGGGATGAATGAAAGGTCTGCCTCCTCCGTTCATAGAGTGCTTTTCACTGATGGAGACTATAGTACAGCTTCTATGAATAGAGGAGGGAAGTGGAAAGGGCAGACATGGTCCAGCACTGACAAGTACCTGTGACAGGACCAACCACTCTGCAGCTCCGGAAGATTTACAGCTGCAGAGGTGGGCAGAGATCTGCTGATTTCAACTAAGAGAGCAGCCAGCAGCACAAGAGACACTTGAATGCAAGTACTTTCCCTTGTACTGATTTTTTTTTTTTTTTTTTTTAAATATTCAACTAAACTTAGGCTTTAACCCCTTAAACCATAGTTTACACAAATTTATCTCCTCCTTCCTCTTCTCTCCTTATTATGTTCCTGCTTTTGTTGTTTTTCTGACTATAAATATTTTATTTTTACTTTTTTTCATTTCATTTGCAAGTAACTTTGCAATGCTTTTTACCAAAATTATAATTTTAGTAACATTTTAATCTAGACATATTGAAGAATAAAATGTATACTTTTTTGAAAAGTGTATTCTTTAATCATACATTAAGGGAAACCAGAAACCTTGTCCACTCCCAGCAGGCCTCATATTTTTGCTAGCGTCCTAGGAGAATGGAAGTCGTCTTCTCAGAGACGCTTACTACATACTTTTTTTTAATACTTTTTATCAAGATATATTTTGTGCTAGGAAGAATCTTCAGTTGCTGCAGAGGCACTGGGGATCGTTTTGCAGCTTCCCAAATCTGCTGATCCTAAGCATAGCCTTGGAATCTGTACCCGAACCTCACTGAAAATTTATGGCCAACCTGCAATGGTCCACCTGAGGACTGGACACTGTGTTGGGCACTCTCCTAAACACCCTTGCTGTAAGGTGTGAGTTCCAGGGCCATAATGCACCTGTCATGTGGAACC